TACCATCACTGAATCTATCCCATTATCAACATCCTGGGGGTTATTACTGAGATAGAATCTAACCATTGCCCCTTGAAATTCCTGAAATCCCCCCCACTGTCAACATCTTGGGGGTTACCATCAAGAGTGAATCTAACCATCAACACCTTGACATTACCAACACGGAATCCCCCACCTATCAACATCCTGGGGGTTATGATTGAGAGAGAAGCTAACTCTTGGCACTCAATGGCGTTACCATCACTGGACTTTGAGTGTCCAAATCACCTTCAGTGAGCAATGACAAAGTGATGTCATGGATAGGACAAAGGAAAGCATTTGTGATAACGTACCTTGAACATGTATCCGAACAGGATGGCTTAGTGAAGACAGACCCCCGTTGACCTCAAAGAGGAGACACTGACATTGGAAAGTGCCTTCATAATTATCTTCAGCTTTAAAGCGAAGATAGGCGTCACATGGTGGCACTGAAATGTTGAATTGATGGAAAACCTTTGAACCTCCATAAAGGTAGATCATTGCAACTGGGCACTGACAGTGACAATGCATAACTATTATCTCCCCATTCACAAACATTTTATAAGAAGGCTTCAGAGACAGATCTGGCTTCGGGAGAATACCTGAGGAGAAAGCAGCCAACACAGTTCATGCACAAAATAACTGCAACAAATTTACATGTCTTTTATTATGCTCAACACAGAACTATGCACTTGAGCATGAAACAGAGAAAGCTAGCATATGGGACAGCAGGTAACCAGAAAGGGCTAAGGGAATGTTGGCCTTTAGTTTAAAAGGGTCCTATTACAAGAGTAGGAGAGTCTTACTGCAACTGAACAAGGTGCTGGGGGGACTACATCTGGAGAACTGTGAGCAGTCACTTTATGTTCAACAATGAGCTGACAAATGCTTAAAGCAGATGAATGCAACTCTGGTTCCAAGGTGCCCCCATGCACAAAATTTTGGAAGGAGCGCATTGCCAAAGTGAAGCAGAAGCTGGTCTTTTGGGAGCACCACTTCCTCTCCATTATGGATAAAACCTGGTCATCAGGTGTGAGGCGCTCTCTCTGTTGTTTTACGTAGCACAGGTCTGGCCCATCCCCCAAAACTGTGCTGTTTCAGTCACCCGAGCCATCTTCCATTTCATCTGGAAGCTTAAGATAGACCAGATCTGCAGGGACTCGATGTACAAAACCCTGGATGAGGTTGGGGGAGGAAGAGGGAACGAACGTACGCAAAGCTGTCCTCATCCTTCTGGCCACCGTTGTGTGCAGCTGCATCAAGCTGTGCGTAGACCCTCAGTACGTAAACACCAAGTGTCACTATGTACTGAGGTTCTACCTGTCCCTGGTGTTGTGAGAAATGGGACGGGCCTCATTGTTGCAGAACACTCCAAGTGGTCAAACTGTTCCGTAACACTTGTCCTTCATCGAGAAATTTGCAAAGAAAGACACCTTTGACCACAAGTCCAACAGGAAGTGGTCAGTATGTAGCAACCTGTGGGAAGAGGAATGGGTGGATCCTGTTGCATGGTTCCCTGGCCAGTCAAAGTCAGAATGCCTCATCATAGGAACTTTCCAACAAGCACCAAGACATTGCTTGGCTGGTGGTGAGATCCTTTATGTGTGCCCGGTCAGCCTGCGCCATCACACGCTGCCCTCAAAGTGGCTGCCGTGGGGGTGAGGCTGACACACACATCTCCTTCTGGAATGTACCTTTGTAAAAGAAGTCTGGAGGAAGATGCAGTGGTTTTTGTCCAGGTTCATCCCCAGTGGCTCCATGATGCAGGACTCTGTGCTCTACAGTCTGTTCCCCCGGACGCACACTGTGACAAATGTCTGTGCCTGGAGGACCATCAACTCGGTGAAAGATGCTGTTTGGTCTGGTAGGCCTTGTCGGTCTTCCAGAACAAGGAGCTGACCCCGACTGAGTGTTGCAGACTGGCACATTCCAAGGTCCAAGACTACGTGCTGAGGGATGCACTAAAACTTGGGGCAGCTGTCGCCAAGGGGCAGTCAGGGAAGACCACGGTTTGAGGCCTTCCTGCTGAAGGGAAATGGGGGTCCGTTTAGTATCAGACCCTCCTAGTGCCTCAAATACGTGTAAACATTAGTTTTGTGTAAGAGAGGTCCTTTTTTTTGGGCTAATCAAAGTTCAATGTTTTGTTTGCTTGCTTGATACGTGATTGTGCAGAACTGAACTGCTTTTGTGTCAATGTATATATACAAAGATTTTTATCAATACAGTTTAGTTTGGAAAAAGAATGCAACCAGTAGAACTGTTACACACCCAAAGAAAACCATTCAGAAACCACAAGCTCCTCCAGCCTATCATGTTAAACCTCGGGACCTGGTAAAAGTTGATCCCAAATATTTCCTGACCAAAAACAGATGGGCAAGCTATCCACGTGACCCTAGAGACCTGAAGTTTGACTGAGTCAAATCCATTCACAAGAACCGGCATGTTTGTTTCTGCGGAAGATAAAAATCACCGTTGTCCAACCTCACCATAAGGGCTACACCCTCATTAAAAACAGAGAGAGACAGAGAGACAGGGAGGGAGAAAAATACAAAAGGGTGGTAGCGTTAACCTGAAGAACACCACTCCTCAGGCAAGGGTAGAGGTTGAGGAGAATCTTTCACGGCAATCTCAGCCGATGCGGGAATTAAACCCATGACCCCTTTCCCTGACCCTCCCATGAATATTAACAAAACCAGGTGTCAAACTGTTTTTTTCTCCACTCACAGGCAATTAATTATGACAGTATTAACATGCACAGACTTATTACATTGGCCGATATAACCTCATTTAAATGTCGCATACTCACGTATCGATCCAACCAGAACGTGGAGATTCACTAAACAGGGGAGGGGGTGGGAGAGGAAGACAAAAAAGAAACATCACTGAACGTTTTACCCAATCTCCATAAGCCGTGAGTGCTTAGGAAGGGTCGCTGGACTTGAATAGATAACTTTGTTTTTCTCTCTCTCTCTCTCTCTCACCGCAGATGCTCTCAGACCTGCTGTTGTCTGTCCAGCATTCTCTGCATTAGTTTCGGATTTCCAGCAACTGCATTATTTTGCTTTTATTCCAGCCTTTTAGTTGCCTTCATGCCACACAATAACCAGTCTCTCAGAATAAACTTTATATTTAAAATATTGACATTTATTTCATAATTGCAAGTCTGATCTTTGCTGAGATGGTGTATAATTCCATTCTACATATCTCTTCTGATACAGTGAGCAAAAACAGAATTCAGTTTTCTTGTTTGGAGACAAAGTGAGTTATAGAGAGGAAATAGTCAGATTTTACACAGTTGCAGAGGTAGATTGATCAACAACTACAGACTGTATTCATTTGG